AAGCTTCCTGGATGGGAAGCGAAACATCTTCAAACTTGGAAACAAAGTCCAGTATATAGTTTATTAACTTTTTTTGGAAATGTTTGCCAAACAAGAAGAAAATAAAACGCATTAGTAGGAACCAATACACAATACACCACATACCTGGTCGGAACATTATAGATGTTGCTCGCCGGCGATGGAAAAATGTCAGCGGCGTTGTTCCAGATGTCCTGTCTTTATCGGGGCATGCTAGCGGTCAGAGCTGTGGGAACCAGGACGCTGATCCCCGGCTTGGTCCTACAACAGTTTCGGGCCTTCTCCGTCCACAAGGAACCGGACCTGGAGGAGAATCCGTTTTACAACAAGTACCAGGACAAGATCAAGAAGCTCCGCAGGTCAGCTAGCAGCGCCCACAACTCCGCTACATAGTCTGCTATTTAAGGGGGGAAAAAACTGCTTTAATGGCCTGTTGGAAATGTTCAAGGCAGCTTCTTCAAAGTCAAATCTTATTGTTCTGATCTGTAAACATATATATAAAAAAAGGTGTGTTAAAGCAGGCTAACATAACCCTGCAGGATAGCTGCCCTTCAACACTGACTTTAGACATTCCTGTTGGGGTGGAAACCATTGGAAAATAAATATTTATTGTTTGCAGCAACATATGAGAAGTATTACGCAAAGGAGGGGTTGAAGAATGAGTGGTTATAAGAATTATGTTTCTTTTTAGCGAGAAACCACAGGAGTACAAGCAGCGGCTGGAGAAGCGGCATGAAACGAAGAAGGATGCCGTCGGACACTCGAAGCAAGCGGAGTTTATCCGGGTCATGGAGCAGGAGGTGGGGTTTCAGCTCAGCTGCATCTTCAGGTATTGGGTGTTTAAATGGCAGACGGGAGTGACCCTCTTTTTTTCTATTTTAGTTTGAGAGTAGAGATAAGAAGGCTGCAGGTGATGGAGCATCTGGAGCTTTTACAAAGAACAAGGTGAGCCTGGTTAGGAGGCTGAGCAGAGAATAAAAATGTAGGAATTTTATTTATTTGTTTTTGCTCAGTGGATTCGCTGATTGAAAGGCTGAAAAATATTGAATTGAATTGAGATTTTTTTAAGATTCAAAATAATTCATAATCTGAAATCATTTTTTTTTTTTTTATCAAAGAAAGCAATCAAAATCTTTCAACATGAGGATTATGTTTGCATTCATGAAAATAATGGGATGCTTCTTTAGACTTTAGGTTCCATCCTGAATCTGGAGATGATCAAGGACAAGACAGGCGAGGAGATTGCACAGGTGAGTCTGGTCTGTAAGCTCTCTGGTAAAAAAAACAACTTCCAACTCAGATTATGTGGAGGGAATCAAATCAAAACCAATAGTCTACCTGTGTAGCCTGTGTAGTGTTTTACCTATTTATAAGGTCAGTACATCTCAGTAAAGTGTAATAATCCAAGTCAACTTCTGTGTAGTCTTCCCTTAGCTCTCAGGGAATCTCAGTATTTCTGAAATTCACTGTCAAATTTTGTTAAGTAGCTGAAAGGATCATTTTAATGTCAGTTTAGACGGTATCCATCCTCTTTAGCGCCTCTTGTTTTTTAAACAGCACAGTTGGTATAAACTGAAACTCTTCATGTATTCTTTCCAGCTATGGATGCAGTACTATTCAACCAAAGACACGATCAGCGCTGCCATCCCGGTGAGCTCATTACTGCTAAATCTATTCCTATAACAGCATGTATCCAAATGTTGTCCTTTTAATGGGTGTCTGTAGATGAAGAGCTGATCTAAATGTCAGTCTTGTGTTCTGTTTGCAGTCTCAGATCTATGAGGTGATTTTCAGCAGATCCAAGACCTGCCCCATGGTAAGGTCCCAGCTGAAACTAAACATTGGTTTGGTTTCACCATGCAGAAACGCTTGCGTGTGTAAACTACAGGACAAAAAAAATGAATCCCAGATCTTTTGTTAGTAAATGTTTTTCATGGTTTTCCATACTGACCTCTGTCTGTGGGCTCTCCTCAGTTCGTTTACGCTCTGCCTCAGAAGGAGGGATACGAGTTCTTTGTGGGTCAGTGGTCTGGACACGAGCTGCACTTCACCTCACTTATAAACATCCAGGTAAACCCCTCCATCTTTGTACTTTCTGTCCTAATCGACTTATATGATGAACAAACTCCTGACAGATGAGGTTCTGTGATTTAAAAAAAATACTTAATTAGAAAAGCTTTTGTTGTATTTGGTCAGCATTTCTTTTCTTTAAACTGCCTGCAAAATGATAAACATAGCTAAACATGTTTAGTTATTGATCTTGTTGTAGTTCTTGTTTTACTTTTAGATAGGGCCCTAGAATCGCACACGGAATCGCGGAATTGGCAAATTAACGCAGAATCTAGTGTAAACGCGGAGTTTCTATATTTGACATGAAATTCTGTTTTTGTGTGGGAGAAGAACGTACGTCGACTCGGTGGGGAAATGCACACCGGGGGACGCAAATCTGGGCGACACAACCCCTCCCGCTCCGTCATTTCCGCTCACCCTCCCCCATCAAAACATTGAAAAAATGGCGTAGCGGCTAGAGATGTCCCGATCCAGGTTTTTGCACTTCCGATCCGATACCGATATTGTTTTTGGACTTCCGATCCGATACCGATACTGGCCGATACCAGCCTATCCGAGCATGTATTTAAGTTTAAGTTAAAGTATTTAGCCTTAGTTGTAAGACTCATGTTGAAAAGGGTTTTAGTACTCTTGATAACATCTAGCCAGCTGAATTAGGTGAGATTGAATAAAACACAATGCTTGGTAACAACAAACTTACCTGTTTATTAAGAGATAAACACAAACTGGACAAAATTATGGATAGCAATCTGAAATTGCACAGTGAGCAGTAAAACCGTAAACAGTTAAAGGTGCAAGTATTACTGTAAGTTTTAATAAAAATGCAAAACAGGGAAACACTGGCGCAAAATAGTGGAATGGATCGTTTCAATCGGCAAAACTGGAAAATACGGACCGGATTTTTTTTTAAAAACTGGATCGGCAGTCTGGATCGGCATTTTACATGCTTTGCCGATACGCATTTTTTTGCCAATATTGGCGTCCCGATCCGATACGTGGATCGGATCGGGACAAGCCTAGTAGCGGCTCTCCACAGCTCCGCTTTCGGCGAATAAGTTGAGAAACATTTGCTTACATACTTGCTGTATTTTGCCTTGTTTTTTATGCACTTTAATGTACTGTATGGAAAATATGATTCTTTATGAAATACTTTATAATTCTGAAATTGAGAGGTCCTATTTTATTTTTTTACTTGAAAAAGCTAATGGAGCACTTTTATTTATAACCATTGGTTCATAACCATTTATATTTTGTTAGTGCTTAGAGTGCAGTGTTATGTTGCATCATCATGCAGTAAAAGTACTGAGTAAATGTGTTTTTTTACCTCAATAAATTTAAGGTCATTCCTATTTTATCTGTGTACATTTTCATCATTAACATTAAAAGCAGATTCTTTTAACGACTGAAATAACAGTAAAGGGTAAAAAAACTAAATTTGCGAAAATGAAAACGGAAAAAACGGAATTTGGGAAAAAATAAAACAGATTTTATAGGGCCCTATTTAGAGTAAATAATATCAGATTGAAGAAAAACTTTTATACTTATAAGAAAAACCTTCAGGATTCTCTGTGGAGTTTGCTAAATAAGCCCAGTTCTGCAAATTAGTCTGCAGTTAAATTAAGAGGATTGCAGATGTTGCAGAGGATTGAAATGAGGCCTCGCCCTGACAAGAAACTACATTAGTAGAGAGTGGTTCTCTTTAGCTTGGGCTTAAATCCAGAAAGTCCAAACATAAATATCCCAGTAGAGTTAGAAAGACAACAAAACATGAACAAAGACAATAAAAACGGCAAAACAAATGGGAGATAAAGGGGGGGAAACAGGAGCTGGTGTTTGCAAGTGAAACAGAAGAAAGGAGGAGGAAACATGGCTCCAGTTGTTTAGAGAGAGAGACTGTGGTGGGCTGCGTATAACTTCATTATGATTGTTAGAAAGCCCACGTTGTTTAGATATATTTCGGTGAGCTTTCATATGTCCGACACTCATGAATGCACTATAGGCGCTCCGACCTTATTGAATGCACCAAATGCCTGAACGTTTTTTTTTTTTCTTCTGATACTGCATCATGCAGCTCGTCATCTCCTGTTTTCTCCTAACATTTATCCTTTATATCTGTATACCTACTGGACTGGCTGTGTGTACACCTTATCTCGTTTTAATGAATCCTTGGCGTAGGTAGGGATGTTGTTTTATTTAATGTGCTAATTAAACACCTAAAGATGGCTGAAAAGTAGAAGGTTTACTGATGGTGATATTCTGGGGAAGTGCATTTATCTCAGAAGGAATATGTCTTTTTTTGAGTTTTTACGGCATTAGTGCCTCGTTTTTCGACAGTAGGGGGTATGAGCGAGGGGTAGAGACATGCGGGAAAGGACCACAGGTCGGATTCTGACCTGGGTCAGCCGCTTTGAGGACTAAGGTCTCAGTACATGGGTTGTGCGCGCTAACCACTGTACCACCTGCACGCCTGGAATAGGTCTTTCAATGGTAAAGGCAACAAAATGACCCAAAAAAACAGCCTGGATATTTAAACTGGACAGGAAATTAAGTTGGAAAGTAGTGCATGAGTTCTGCATAGCTGACCCATCTGCTTCTAATTAAGTATTTTCGCATGGATTGATAAAGAAGCCATCAGAAAAATGCTTCTGATATTTTTTGTTTAGTATTGTAATGCATGGTTCATATTTCTTTTATTTGTCTAAAAGAAAAATATTCTGTTTATTTAAACAATGTTGTTGTATTAAGGTATAGAAAGTGAAACTCTTTATTTAACCCAATCCATGATTTGATTTATTTGCCACGTATAAAAGGAACAGACTGAGCCCCCCCCTTAAACAGCATGTGTCATTTCAGTGTGATATTGTCACTTTGTTTATTTAAATAGTTGCTAAAATGAGCTTTATTACTTGGACCCCCAGCCTGATGATTCTAAACCCTTAAAATCCAAATTGAGGTTTATATGTGGATTATTTAATCATAACAAGCAGGATCGCACATAAAGAATACAGTGAAAATAATAAAATAATTGAGAGATATTGTTTAATGCATGTTTACGGATAATCTGAAGATTAAACTGTTGGAATCATCCAAGAGGGTGGAGTTGATCTTATATGATAGATGTAATTTTCTGTCTCAGGGATTTTATGTCGTAGCTTTATTTATTTTCCAGCCTTTCAAAGTTGATGGTACCCCATGACTCGGTTAAACAGAGATGACTCATTTAATATGTAAATAGTTCATACTTAAACATCTAAACCATAGGTCGCGGATTAGCGGACCGTGGTCCAGATCCGGACCCACATGCTGGCTAATCCGGACTCAACCTGATTTAAAACATTTATAAATTACTGCCTGTTCTCTAACGACAGTGTCCAACTTTACTTTCGCCACTTCTTGGATGGTAAAGACCTCTGGAGAGTCTGGCACCAGGCTGAACGTGACACAAATTAGCCAATGAGCTGTCAGTCTGGGTTGCTGCTGCTGCTGTTACTTTTAGACACAGCAGGCAAACCTGTGGCAAGCTGGGCAATGGAAAAGTAGGAGAAGATGATGAGAAAAAAAGCCGAGAACATAATCAAAAATATATATTTATCCAAGCTCAAAATGAACACCTTGATATGTTCTTGAGAATGGCTTTTTTCGCCATTCAAACCCAGATTTGAAGCCTTGCAGGGCAGCCGAAAATCCACTTCTTTCATTAAGCCATAAAGAAAAAAAAGTCAGTTCAGGTGTTTAATAAAAAAAAAAATAAAAAAAAAGGCAAGTCCGGAAATTGTTTATATACCAACCCAAAAGATTGTTGTTCTCTACTTCAAAAACAATTTAGATTTTAAAATGGAAACATTTTCTATTTCTTTGAAGAAAAAAAAAATGTAGAACTTGCATGCATAAAAGCCTGCATTGTATTTTAGTGTTCAATTCAGTTTAAAGTAACAGATTGTAATTTAAAAATGTCTCTGGTCCTTTACTGGTTGTTGATTTTCTGTATTAGGACCCTGCTGATTTTTAATTGTTTACCCCTGATCTAAACTCTGCCTGCTAACTATATGAAAGCAGCATTCACAGCAGCTGATAATGTTCTCCTCTTTCTGCACCCAGACGCTCGGTGAGAACTCCCCCAGTCAGCTGATCCTCTACCACTACCCTGACCTGAAGCAGGAGAAAGGCATCGTTCTCATGACGGCAGAGATGGATCCCAAGTTCATCGTAAGCCTGTTGTTTTTGTCTGATTTACTCCAATTGACTTAAAGGAGGATTCAGACATCAGATATTTAAAGAATCTTTTTTCTTTCCAGACTGTCCACCAGGCTCAGTGTTTAGCCAATCAGCTTCAGCTGTTCTACGGACCTCAGAGGCAGGACACGTACCAATTGGTGGAGACCTTGAACCACAACCCTAAGGACTTTAAACACACACATGTGATAGCAGTGCTGGAGCAGAGCGGGCTGGGGTCTACAGGAGTCCCTGGGAGCTCTTAAGGATGAACTGAAAATGACTAAACTTTCTCAGACTGAGGTTTCCTTTTTCCTGGGTACTTCTGAGGTTAATAAAAGAAGCAGTCATTAAAAGATGTAGGGAATAATGTGGAGGAAGCAATCCAAGCACATTTCCCTCTGTGTTTCTGACTGGGCCCTAGAGACTTTGATACCAAAGCCAGTAATGAAATTCTTCATTTGATGTTAAATGAGAAAAGGTAAGCTCTTAACAGTCTGGATATTCTTATTAGATTGAGACATTTATGTCCCTTAAACAAACCTTTAAAGAAGTTTTATTGGATCATTATTGGATCATTGTAAATAAAATCTGAACTTTCATTCTTTAAACCATTGAGAGGATGTTTATTTTTTTATCATAATGATAATAGAAGAATAATTGAGAGAAGCTTGATGTGTTTTAGAACTTTGGTTCCTTAAAGGGAGGTATCTCTGGTGGGTGGGTGGGGTTTCACAGCTTATTGCTCTTTGTAGAATCTATTAATTACGCACGGACCCCAGATCTCAAAAACAAAAAAGGGTCTCTGAGAGGATGACAGTCTAATCTAAAAGAGTCTGATGGTCTACGGTTATACCTGGAGCAGGCAGCAAGATCCTAAACAAAGCCTAAAAAACAAGGAGAAATGGAAGCTATACAAGGCTAGACGAAAGTGATTGCCTCCAGTGTTGGAAAAAAAACAAAGTTTAACTCTCATAACAGATATTCCACAAGGAAACCTTTACTACTCTGAAGCTTGCCATAGAGATTGATGCCATTGATGATGAGCGGAACTTCTGGAATCAGGTTCTTTGGATGAATGGAGCCTAGGTGGAAACTGATTTCTCTCCTACATCCACCTGTGACACAGCCAATCAGCATTGAGCCACACCTCCACGAAAGCCAATCGGCATCCATAGTTCATCTTAAAAGGCCTCCGATCCGCACTTGTCTGCTCTGTGCGCAGGTGGCAGATGTACTGTGACTTCATTCAGATGAATCTGTTTCAACCCACCTCCGCCTTCATAGCTAAAGCTTCATCAGAGTGTCATTCCTCCCGGACTCTTGCTGCGTTTCCTGTCTCAACTTAAACGGTCTGGCAGAAGACCGCCATGTTGAGCCTGGTTCTGCCAGAGGTTTCATTCATCCCAATAGGGAGTTTCTCCTCTCCACTGTCGCTCCTGTTCATGCCTATCAATCAAACTGAAGGACCTTGTTTCCTGCCGAGGTCTGAGCGCCAAGGACAAAGTAATTGTATCAATACATTTCTCCTAATTGTCTTTTCGTCTGAGTTTTTAAGATTTGAAATGTTAAAACTGCATAATTCGGGCAGCGGGTCAGATAAACTAGATTGTTCAATGAAAAGTACCTAACACCAACTGTAAGGCATGGATTGGAGGGGTCATGGTGTGGGTGTGCTTTACTCACCACCACAGTGGAACACATGATTGCTGAATGAAAATGTTTAGTAAAAAATCTAAGGCATGGAAAGTTCTAGAAGGGCTGCTTGAATTCTGATTACCGGTATATGGAGATGATGTAGGGTGACATGAAAGGATTCTCCATGATAGAAACACATAAATGTCTGCTGAAGGTAAAGAGTTGGATTACCAGTAACTTTACTCTGGTTCATGCAACAAACATCTGAGCCAAAAGGGGGGAACACCCAACTTAAAAGTAGAAGTAGATTGTCCCTACTTTGTCCTCAGGACACACTAAATGACTACATGGACATGGTTAACCTTTTCTTCCAAATCAAACCTCTCAAAAATAGAAAATTGCACAATTACTGGTCTCATTTTTTACCAATTTTATTGCATTTGTACATAAACAGTGCAAACCCCTGATTATAGGGGCAACCAGGAAAACAAAGATGAATTCCAATGGCTTCAGTTATCAAAATTACAAACTAATGAAAAAACAGATGTCTAAAACCAACTTTGAAATGATCTCAACGTTTCACACAAAAATGTTTAAAAAAAAATGTTTTTCAAACAAGAGGCTGTTAAAAAAACTTCCTGGGTGAATTTCTGTTTTTAAAAAATTCTAACTTAAAACCATGTCCATAAGGTTTATCTAATTAGTCCCTCAGTATGTGACAAACACTAAAGTTAAACACATGACAAGATCTTTCTGGAAAGAGGTTATAATGTGAACCTGTTTTTAGGTGTTCAGAATGTTTTCTTTTATTAAAGCCACATGAGACTTTTTCCTATTAACATATTCAACAAAAGAAACTAAAACTGGTGCAATATATAAAAACCGTGGCACAACTCAGACAAACATACAAAATATTTTAGACAGAGTAACATCATCACCCCTCCCTTTTTTAACACCGCCTCTGCGCCGGGTCATAATAAAGCTACATCCAACATAATATTTCTCACAGTGCATTAAAGAGGTCTAAACTACAACAATAAAAAAAAAACAAAATACAAAAAGTTCAAGTGCTTATTATCTAGAAACAAACTAAACCGCATTATTACAGGAACAGAGATGAGATTCAGGCCTAAAGTCATCCGCACTAAAAGACATCTCTGGTTCTAGAACATTGTCATGGAAACCCAATAGATTGGACGTGAGGCAGTAATAACCAAGAGTTCATTCATTTAATTACTGTTATGTATATATTTTAGGGGACATATTCACCTTCCTTCACAGTGCACTGCAAGGCTGTTTGGTTTTTAACATTTCATTCAAATATTCCATCCATGGGATGGCCACTGTTCATTTTCATTAAGCCAAATGCTAAAGGTGTATTATACTATAGAGCAGGACCAACTGGTGGCTGAAGCATACTAAAAATAATGTGCTGTTTTACACTTTGTATATTTCACAGAGTCGTTTACCATGTTTTAGCCATCTGTTTATAAAAGAACAACCCAATTTCAGTCTTAACGTTTAAGCAATTAGACATCAATCTTTAAGCACAACCATCCATTTCATCCATTAAGCTGTGTGACCATGTCTGTATACTGTTGGTTAAATTGGTCAAATTAAAGCTTGATTGTGGCAAATTAATCTAAAAACTAGTGAACAGACCACTTTGTGCTTTCAGTCTTAATTCTGGCCATTGAAAGCACTTTACACTAAAGCCACTTTCACCAAATCCTCCAGGGCCACATTGACTTATGATAGGAAGAAGCCTCAGCTGAAACTCATTTGCTTATATACGGAAAATAGAACAGAGCACATTCAATGCTTTGGAACAAATAATTTTCTATGATTTTTTTTTACATGAAAATGGGGGTTTTTCCCATCACATAAAGGCCAGTACCATGAAACATGATCAGTGCCCAGTCTGTTTCTTTTTAACATAAATCCAATAAAACCAGAACCTCCATTGATAATATTCACTAGTTGCTGTATATTAGCTAGACCTCCAAATGTCATGATGGGTTCAAGTAAGCTTGTTTAAAAATTTTTTTAAAAAAGCAGTCGAGTCTAGAGCACTTAAACAAGCTTGTTAGTTAAGTTACTAATGATGGATGGAATAGCCAAATATTTTACCAAAGTAAGAGTAGTGTTTTGATCAAGATATTACTCATAAGTAAAAAGTATGCTGCAGTGAAACTATATTTCTGTCGAAAAGTTACTTGAGTAAATGCAACTAGGTGTTGCTAATTAGTACCCACCTCTGCCTTTAGCTACAACAATATCTTTTCCACACCTGCAGCTACTGTCTGACTGACAGCTGTATCAATTTGATGCATTTAAATCTCAAAGAATAAAACCTCGCTCATGTAATGTAAGCTATATTGCTGGGAGCAATGGCAGGGATAATGCCATTTTGCCGTTGGTCAAGAGTAGCAGAAATTGCAAGGTTTAGCTGAATGATAACAGAATTATTGTCTCAAATCCAGAGGTCATTCAGAATAGTACCAAACGGTACTTTTATGTTTCTGCACCAGAATGCTAGTTTGGTAGATCTCTAAGGATTCATGTCATTTCCTCTGAATTCTAATCAGTCTGTAGATTTCCTACAAATTCTATTAAAAATCTTTCATTTAAACTCCCGGCCAGTGAGTATCTCACTCGCTCTTGTTCCAAACTGTTTTAAAACAGGCTGGTCCAATTAAATATTTCACATAGTTTATATAATAGACAATGTCTTTCTGCAGAATGGGCCTCATCAGGGGGGTTAGGTGTGTCAGGAGGCAAATGGAAATGCTCCCTCAGGGTGAAATCACCAAAAAACTGGTAGATTGTTTTTTTTTTTGTTTTTTTAGTGCTTCACTGATTAGCTGTCCAGCATTAATGGACAGTATGTGTTAAAGCGCCACCCCTACACCTATGACCTAACAAAGTAAGGCTATGAATTATAGTTACCATGTCATAGAGAGCTGTCTAGTTAAACAGATTAAGCTTATGTTGATTTTATTCCTGTCAAAATGTGACAGATTGTTTCCTTCCCAATATTTACACTTTTTTACTCACAGCACTCTTCGCTTGTAATAAGACATTAAAGATTGCTGCTTTTTCTGAATCTCAAACTTAGTACCACAAAAAAAGACAGGTACCTATAAAGAGGACTATGTTTTCCCTCATTTAATAAATGTCCCATTCAAAGTCCTGCATACAAGAAACTGATGCCGAGGAGACAAAGGAAATAAAAAGAAAACAAAAATAAGCTTAAAAAAGGTAGAAATGTGATCCATTTGTGTTCCACTAAAAACTTCCCAGCTGAGCAGCTTATCTTGTTTATTTCTGAATATAGTGGAAACCTGGAAAATAACTATTTCTGCTTCTTGCTTGAGGAAAACTACAGATTCTTATAATGTTTGGAAGAACCCTATGTTGAACCACCACCATGTTTAAAAAGCTGCCTTCAGAGTTTGGGAAAATATTCATAGAGCTCAGAAACTATATCTGTGATGTTTTCACCTGTTTCAGCATATTGTAGAAATCAAACAACATAAACCCAGAAAGACATCCTCAGACTAGCACCCTTTTATAGTGCTATGGTTGTCCTCTGGTCCTATTATTATTTTTGATTTGTATTTTTAAGTTACAGTTAATTTACTGTATAGAAAAATAATAGTATTTTGTTTGTTGATACAAAACATTTTTTTGTATATATATTTCTTATACAAAGCCACACCATCTTTAAAGCAGACTGTCATACATGCTTACATCACAGTTAGTTTTTAACTAGATTTTTGTGTTTCCACAGGCATTATTAGCCAAACAAACTCACATTTTGACTTTTAAATAATCCAGTAGTCCATTTCGCCGTAGAAATGTGCCTTTCCAGCTGAGGTTTCCTAGCTCAGCTCCAAATCTTGCTCCTCACTGTACCTTCTCTGCTGCTGTGGATCCCTGAGTTATTCCTCCACAGTCTTGTCTCAGTACATGGCCTCGGCGTCACGGATGTTTCCAAATGACAAACTAAAAGTGCTTCCAAGTTTCTTGGTGACACCGCTGCCCTCCCTCTTTTTTTTCCTGTTCCAGTTCAACAAAGAGGCGGAGCTCTGTCCCTTGGCCCCGCCTAGCAGCCGTTGGCGAGCGTTTTCTTTGTCGCTGCAGTGGGACAGCATGACGGCTTTTCTCTCTACCTGCGAGGACAAAAACAATTTCTTGCACTTCTCTCAGCTCTGCATTCGCTGCCTATCCAAACAAATAAAAACATCCCATTTACCTGGATGTCATGCGAGTGTAGCGTCACCACACTGATTTGTACTTCTCTGTCGTTGCAGCTCTTCAGCATGTGGACTACCTCCCCATGTTTGGCCCACTTACAGTCTTGTCCATCCACTGCTACAATATAGTCTCCCTCTCGTAGTCCTGCCTCCTGAACAGCAAACAAAAAATGGGTAAAAATGAGAACATTTGTTCCTTCAAAAAGAGGGTATTTTGTTTTAATGAAGACGCACAAAAAAACTGTCTGGTTTTTCAGCTTTATTTGCTTTGATCAATGAACAACCAGTATGAAGACTCAATAATTAGAGGATTGTCCAATCATCCATTAGGACTTATCACTTTATAAAAAGAACACTCTTTGGTGTGGAAGTTTGTTGTCGGAAGAGGATTCAACTTAAGTAATAGTATTACTGAGATATTTACAAATGAGTCAGAGGAAGCACAACAAGAAGTGATTATAAAGAAAACTGGATATTCTGCGACATGTTGAGACACGTCTGTATTCTGGCAGAGGGGCACCGACATCAGCAGATAACAGGAGACTTTACTTTTTTATGGAACACACTGAATTTGAAGAGGTTGTTAGACTTAAAGGTATCAGCGCTTACCAACATTAGGAAACAATGAGAGTGCTATTGTTTTAAGATATTGTGATAACTCTGAATTATTATTAACCCACATTTTCCCTCACAATTTTTTTTTTTACTGTAATAATGGCTTTAGCACTGATCTTGGGTTCTCTTTACTTTGCAAGCAAGATGAATTCTGGCGAGATTTGTGAATTCACAAATCTGAAGTACAGGCTGAAGTAAAGAAAGGTGGCTGCTCTGGTTTTAGCTGGAATACGCTCTATTTTTGAAAAACAATTAAAAGGATGCGATTTGTGTCTTTGAGGTTGGGCCAACCGGATTTGGAAAGATGTGATAGGATTAAAGGATGTGATACAATCGCAGCTGTTACTGCTTCTCTGATTGGCTAAAAGCTTGACATGGGAGGCAGGTGTCACTCTGTGATTTATCCAATCAGCACAAAGAACTGTTGTGAATGCCCCTCCCTTTTGCAAACACTTTCCTCCTGAGCATTTCCACATGGACATTGTGAGTTAAAATTGAACGACATGTATCAGTCTGGCTTATGCCAGGTTTGGGCCTTCTGGTCTTGGTGGCTAAGATCTTCATCCTCTGTGAAAGCAAAAGAGGATCAATATCCTCCTAATAGCCTGAATATTTCTGAAAAGTACTTGTGAGACAAATGCTGCAAACAAGCAGTTTTTAGGAATGAAATTAATGCAAATTTTACAATGATAAAAATGTGTAGTTTCTAGAAGATACAAATGGATGTTTAAGTAATGCTAATGCATTAATAACTGTCTTATAATGACTGCACATGTGGGATGATAAACTATAGAAAAAATGATATAGAAAAAAAGGATGTCTTGAAAAAGATTTTGGGATTTTTTAATGTTAAAAATAAAACACAACTCTCTTAAATTGATATCTGCAGGTTTATTTTTCCAGTATTTCTCAACCTAACTTCTTACTTAGTAGGCTTCACATTTCATAACAAGGTCTACTCTTTTCATAAAGTCAAACTCGCTGTTTGTTGTTGCGTTCAGTAAGATTTTTTTTGTTTCTTGTCTGTTAATCTCAATCAAGGTACCATCCAATCAAATCATGTGGAGTGCTACATTATTTAAACATCTGGCATAAACAGAAAAACAGACACAAACTTTTGCTCCATCTGAATCGTTTTCAGAGGATTAATTGTTTGTTTAGTTCTTCCTTGATGCTTAGATCCCTCCTCCAGTCAGCCTCACCTCTGCACAGCCCCCAGGAACCACTCCAGCAACCAGGACAGGGGAGTCCCCTCTGAGTGTGAGACCCATCCCACCTTCTCTCCTCTGCAGGCAGATCACACGTGTGGGGCCCCAGCGGGCTCTTGCACAGAACACTGACAAGGGGCCCTGCAACACAGCAAATGGTTCTGCTATTATTATATAGAGATGTAAATGTCATTGAAAAGATCAGGTTTTTAATATGCAATGTCAACTCAAAATGTTTATGTTAATGTGACATTTATCATGTAGAGGGTCCTTTGCAAAACTGAGAAATGTGTTAAAATAAAATAATCAGTAAAAATAAAACTGGTTTAAAGAGTACATATCCCTAAAAGAATACTTTGCCGCATCATGTCGCATCTTGACTTACAAAAATGTATCCACTCTGCCTCGAACGCAGACTGAGTATATATGGAATCCATGCTCCTATTCTTGCAGCCCAATCAATCTATTGGTCAAATTTAGGTCAGAACTCCAACTGGGCCATTCCTAAACCTTCATTTTGCACTGGTTCAGCCAATCTTTAACCTCCACATTCAGCTCTACAGTTCTGGGGTCCAGATTGACTGAAATTTTTTCTATTCATAATTTCATCCTGCATGGAAAAAAGCCCAGTTCAATCTGAAAAGAAAGCCCAGAGCATGATGCTTCCACCACCTTTGTTGTTTTCAGGCTAAAAAAACCCCCATTAAAACATGTTCAATAACTTCTAACTTGGTTCGTTTGGATCAAACACATTCTATTTGAGATGTTTTGCTTTAAAAGAAAAATGCTTCTCTATTTATTCCCTTGTAATTTCAGGCACACCATACAAAGAAAGCAGACAATTGTGTCAGGAGCAGAATGCAACCAGCAGTAGCTCTGATTGAACACTATCAGAGTAGTTGCTGGCGATTTTTGATCCTCCATGAACGGGTTCTCTGTTTTCTCCTCCATTCATTTTGAAGCATTGCTGAGTTTTCATAAGGAGTTTAACGTTTGATGTTTCTCATGTTATTGATGACAGTTTTTACTATACCAGGGTACAGTATGTCTATGTAACATTTTGTACCCTTGTCTTGATTGATATCTTTGTAAACATTAAAGAGACATTTTGTATGTTTTTAAATGAATAAATATCTTTACAATAGCCATTTGCCATTCTGTGTTTTGGCCACAGGAGGCAGTATAATTAGAAACCTCCGTAATGTTTATTTAAAGGTATAGTGAAGGATGTTCTTTTTGCAGGTGGATCAACAAAATAAGTGGTCATTCTTATTGTCAGTCATTCTGGTGATATGTTTACATAACGACATCCTAAGTGCTCGTCCCGTTTTTTCAGGGGTGTAGAGTCTGACATAGTGGAAAAATTGCAAATCTTCTTTTGGAAAGTGATCTTGTATGAGCGATGCAAACAGCAAGTTTTAAACAGAGCGTGCATGAGGAGAAAAGGGGTGGTGCAGGCTATCGCACACGTTTAATAGGTGTCTCCTCTCGGAAGCAGGTACAGGGTTGTGCATGTGCTTTTTTTTTAATTGGAGAGGGCAGATCTTTTCAAGAATTTGCGAAAATCCTCCACTATACCTTTAATAAAAATATTGAAAAGGATTAACCAGATTCTTACACAGAGATATTCTACCCAGTATGTCTATAGGCTGGAAAGTCAATAACAGCTGTGTATCAAAGCTCTCCATGGCAACGCTCACCAAGAAGACATTACTTGCAAGTATGGATAAATAAAAACTATCTAACACTTTAACAACTATTAAACTGAAACCAACGTGTTACAAAACACTGAAATTGTTCCTTTTATTGGTAACAAATCAAAGAAAGCATGGAGACCAGTTATACTCCTGCATGAGATAACTTAGGAAAGACTCGAAAAGCAGTCCCTTTTATTTGTCTCTTCCCTCGAAAGGCTTTTCTGGGTTTTCCTCACCAGTCTTTGAAAGATGTCAGTAACTTGGACGGTAAAGAAGCTTGGTGGAGTGATGTCTGGTTTCTGCTGAGTATGAGCTGCCAACACAGGAAGCTACAGTCAGTTAATCATGAATGGATCAGAATCCACTATGCTTAAGTTGTTAGTGGGATCTCACCTTGTATCTCTGGGGCCTCTGCTGTTTCATCAAAGTCATCTTCTCGATCCAGCTCTAAATATTTCTCCAAGGACAGCTTGTGCATTTGACAGAGCACATCTTGCAGGATGTCCATCTTCCTCAGGACCTTACACAGACTGTGGACACGCATGGCCTCCTCATGCCTCATAACGGCACTCCGAAGGTGGGCTTTGCCTTAAAGTTTTTAAGGAAACACATTAAAAGTCTGCACTGATAGTCATTAAAAGTCCACATTGACAGTGATGTAGCTACCACTGAAACAGGTGAACTCACCAAGCTTTCTCCTTTTTTCAGGATCCTCCAGAATCTGGCTGAGAGTTTGCCCCGAAGAAATGTTGACATACAACTTGAGGAAGGCTTTATCAACCTCCTTTTCACACTCCTCCCCATCAGAAGATGCTACAGGAAATATCAAGCTAAGTTAGAAATCTTACTTAAGTGGTTTAAGAAAAAGAAAAAAAGTAAAACATTTCCAGATTTCTAAGCTGCTGTTAAAATATAAAAACTAAGGATGGACTGATCTAAACTAAATCAAAGGCTTTTAAGTATTTCTCTATATGGATGACTTGTTTATCTGATTCTTTTTATTCCCCAACAAACATCTAGGTCAAGAGTTTTATTAAAAATAAAAACTTGAAAGCAACGATTTATCAATACAATAAAATAAATGCCTGGATTTATTGAGAAAAGACACAAAAAAGACATGGATAGGTAGGTTTACAGACAGACTGACGGACAGACAGCTGGTCAGGTACACAATAAGTCAACAAATTAAAAAACTACACCTAAAATCTTAGAGGAGATATTTCCCTTACATGTGTGGTCGCAGAGTGCAGCAGCAGCATAATAGTGCGAGAGAGCACGGAAATGTTCAGATTTGACCTGAACCATGGCGGCCCATGAAAACGGCACATAGTCCTTCATCACAGGCTGCGTCATCGTCTGATGCACTAGTGAGTAAACATCCGACACCTGCACAATTCGTGGACAAAGACTCGTGTTGGTTATAAAACAATAACACTCACAAAGGAAACAAAGAAATTACCTCATTTAATTTATCCAAATTAAATAACTTTAGTCTATTATTTAATAACTAATTAATCTCCCTGTTTCTACTGGAAGATCTTTATCTATTTTATACTTTTACAAGATTAATGTATTGTAGGAATACAAGCTAAAAAACAAACTTTAGAGACATAAACTTATGGAAAGTTAAAAACAAAGTAAGATATTTACATACAGATTAGAGGTGTAAAAGTCAAATGTAACAAATTCTAAAAGGTATTGTGAGCAAAAAAAAATCTTTAAGGACCGTTGAAATAGAGAGGAATCATTGAGTATCTTTCCACTCCTAAAAATAAAACCCAACAGAAAAAATAAATAAATAAATCAAACCAGAATCATCCAGAAGGTTGGGGAGAATGCTTGTCAATAAATGAATAATATTTAATATTAGCACTAAAACTGCTTCACTGACCTTGTTAGAACACGGGGCTTTTATAGCACCAATTAAAATGCTAGCTTAATAATGCCAAAGGACACTATAAGGTGAGGTGTTTTTATAAGTGTCAATACCCCAATAACTGAAATTAGCCAAATTTCTCTTGACCAACTCGGACAGGTGATTAGCAGGTCAAGGACTGGGAAATCCAACCTTTCATCTACCAACAGTGTGTTCTATACAGTTCTTTAGGTTCACTATGATATACATAGAGCTTTTAAGCTTGATGCATCCTTTTATGTTAAATTCAGAACTATGATCTTTTATTGTAGATCTGTTGTATTTAAAATTACATTTTGTATCTAAATGTATGCAAACGAGTTTAAGTGTCTTTAAACCCTTCGAAAAAAAAAAAAAAAAAGCAGAACAAACTTATAAAAACATCAAAAGGCCGTTTGGTAAATCTCCAGTTTTATCCAGGATACAAAAAAACAAACAGTTAAGTCACCTGTGCAGCCTCTTGTGCCAGCTGGAGTTGGGAGGTAAACTTAGTGTCCTGTGTGGTGATTGTTGTGCGTTCAAACACACACTCCTGCACCTGAGCAACCATCAGACGGACCAGCATGCTGAGAGACGGAGCGCTCATGTCCAGACTTGGAGCATTGGAGAAGTTCTCCTTTAGGTAATTAAATGCACCTAAAAAGATAACAGAAGCAGTGTCATAGGCTGTGAATCACTGAAGTAAACCTTTTGAGAAGTGGAAAAACAATAATCAGATTACAATCTTATTCATAATTTGGTTCTACTATGATAAGGCAAACATTATTCATACTGAAACGTTTGCTTCAGCTACACAACTGAAAAAACAAAAGAAAACACAGCAAAACCTCCTCTTAAATGACCATGACTATAAGATTATAAATTATGCATTAATGACACAATAACTAATGTTGGACAGTCCTACATAAAACAAATTTATAAAAGTAAACAAAATTACCTGTGTGGTTTAGAAATTAGGAAAATGAATAATTTATAATAATAGTTATAGATTTATTAAGTACAATCACTGTTTGTTTAGAATTTAAATACACTTTAATACAAAGATGTATGGTTTGAGGGAATATTGAACAACATAGATGCCTGTTGTTTGGATGGCAGACACCTGACACAGTTTTTAAAGATTGGAAATAACAGTGGAAACTGAAAACATTCAGTGATGTTGGCATGTAATGGAAACTTCAGTAGTTTAGTTATGAAAGTTATATTGTTTTTAAGGATTATGAGAAAGAAAAAATATTTTGGTTAAAAAATTGGTCTGAGACGCTTCAAACTCTTTTTTTTTTAGTTAGATTTTTATTTTTATTTTTTTGAGTCCACAAAAGAATTCAGTAAAATTTGGTAAATTTATGTTTTAGAATTCAGTAAAATCAGATTTTTCAGCACCTGCAGCTCGCTGAAAGGCATCTATGGCCTTGTTGATGCCGTCTGCAGCAGACCGGTCCTGGCGCGCGCCGATCTGCGTGTAAAGAGCTCCGATGTTGAACAGCACGCTTCCCTTCTCAAAAGCCAGCGCGCGCTGAGACGATGGGACCCCCGTCAAAGAGTCGTACCTGAGGGTTGAGTAAGAAGGAAGCAATTTTACCTTTTTAAGGTAACCAGCAACTTACATGGATTAAAATATAAATGATCAAGAGTCTAAAATAAGCGCCCAAGATAGGATCATGACTGGAACTGTATTACTATTTTAATTACTATTACTACTACTGTATTACTGTATTACGTGGAAAATCTTAAAACTCCAGAGTCCTTTGTTTCTGTTTGTTCAGTTTAAGAATAATTTGGACTCTCATGGTTATGCCACGAGACATGCAGCTGAAGGACGATTTGTAATTTCTAGGGCGAAAACTAATTTTCTCAAATACACCTTTACTGTACTTATAGAGCAATGAAAGAATGGAACTCATTGCCATTAATTCTCATAAAAATTTTACATAAATTTGCTTTTAGCTTTTAGCATAATTTAGCTTTTAGGAGCAACTTATCTATAAATGAAATAGTTTCATATTCTAATTTATTGTAACTTATTCATAAAATGTGAACATTTTAAATTGTAACTTTCCCCTTTTCTATGAATGTTCAGTCTTATTGATATGTATATGATATTTGTCATCTGTCAAACATGTTCATGAATTTACATTGTATACTGTATTTTAATGATGTGGACCCCAGGGAGAGTAGCTGGGTTTAAAGCACAGCTAATGGGGATCCCAATAATAAATAAACAAAAATAAATAAACAAATAAACTATTTATACAAATGATTAGTAATATAGTAAATCTCACAATCTCCCTCTTTGCTCGTATAAACTATCTCTTGTGATTTTTTTAAAATAATTTTTTTGGTATAAAAAGATAGGAACTGGGTTATGTATTCAGAGGAAAATATTGTTTGTGAATTTAGTTCTGAGCAGAGCAGCAACTTGCTTAAACTCAGAACACAGAAAGTGAGTTCTGATGCTAATCTGACCTTTTCTCAAGGTTCAAGAAAAAAAAAAAGGAATATAACTCAGTATTTTGAGCTGTGCCCCAAGGTCTCCACAAAATATGTAGTTTGCTCTGGCCCAGCAAGGAGCTGATGTTAACAAATAACCTTTTCTTGTATTGCCGCAGAGACTGGAGTTATAATAAAAGAGTTCAATAGAAAGAAATATAATGCTGTAGGCCAGCTCTGTTGGAGGCATACTTGAAATTCCCTTGTTTAGGAAAAAAAACAAGAAAAACAACATCTCTTCACACTTTCACTTTCTCATTATGCTATACTTTTTTGGTCTAAAAAGTCTTTAGTTTGTTTTAGTTTGTTTGTAACTTAAAAAAAAAAAGTGAAATGTGTGAAGATTGTTGCTACTTTGTAAAGCACCATATAAACGGTACATTATCTTTTCTAAAAGTAGGTTAAAAAAATGTAAAAAAGCAGTTATTTAAAAAAAAATGCAAATATCGTACCAGTGAAAGTAAACACCCAGGTTCTTGTGTGCAGAGAAGAAGCGCTGGTCCAAATAGTACAGCTGATTGTAGTACTCCATTAGTAGCTCTAGTCCAGCCTGGTTACGACTGGGTGTACGCATCGCCTGACAAACAGAAAGACAAAAACAGAAAGCTCAAACTTTGAGAAATATTCTGTCAAGGCAAGGCAAGGCAAATTTATTTGTATAGCACAATTCAGTACAAAGACAATGCAACGTGCTTTACATGATTAAAATACAGGAAGATAAAACAGAATCAAAGCAAGTAATAAAAAAAAAGAAGAAAAAAAAAAGTCAAGGTTTCTTTTATTGAAGGAGATATACTGTTTTATCATTTTCATAAAAGCATATTCAATAATAAAGTTTGCTTGTATTTTAATGAACCTGTCTGAGATCAATCAGCTCTTTGATCTCCTTGTCGTACTGACTGCTGTCTTCTCCATAGTGCTCACAGATGAAATCCTACAAAAGGGGAGAAATACAAGAAAAATCTATTGTTTCTGGTGCAAATAGTTTCATATATTTTCACAAGCAGGAGTTGATTCTGTGCCGCACATTTCTTTTATGATCTTCATGCAAGTTTCTCAGTTTTCTGAGAAACTAAATCTTCTTTTCTAATTGGCTGTAAGATATAATAACTAAAAAAAACATTATTCCATGGGTAATCAATCTTATGAATTAGATTTTGATTGATTGACTTTATTGATCTCACATTGGAGGAATGTACTTGTTACATCAGCTCAAATAGTCAAAGAAGAAGAATGTGCCAAAAGAAGAAATGGGTGCATGGGATATATACAGTATATACAGTGCTTCCACATATGACAGCTTTTTTTATAGTAATATACAGGGTTATTTTAATATTTTAACTGAATTACTTGAATAAATGTATTCTTGAATGGTATTTACTTTGAATACAAATGTAAACTGCTTTGTCAATTGATCAGAAGATAGCTACTCTTCCAGCTTTAGTTAGTGATAAAATCAATTTTACTAAATTTGAAAGCTAAATAAAAACAATGCTGCATAAGTTTATGTTTCTTTATTGATTTTCAGGGAAAATACTCATATTCTATTTAAATCTGTAATGCTCTACTCTCAATTTGTCATAGTAGAAATTGAGAAAGACAAATAGTCTGATCGGTTTCAAAGGGACTGTATATGTAAAATACCAGAGGACTGCTTTTAAGTATTTTTTAAAGTAAAATTTTTATTTATCTGGTATCAAGTTAGGTTTATTCTACGCAAAACAGTTACTAATATAATAATAATAATGCCCTCACCTGGATAGGAACAGTAAAATCCACTTCCTTGGTTTCTTTCAGTCCAAGGGGGATCATGGGAACACTGATGGCATCACTGCAGGCAGACATAAATACACGTTGTTGGTCTTAGTCATACGTAAGCACTAATGTTCACTAAGCAGGTTTCAAACACAGGACAAGTCCGCATGCCATCTGCTCATCTTAATACCCAGTAGGGGGTGTGTGTGTGTCCGATTGATCCTGCTAACAAACTTAAAAACAATTATTAAGCTTTGCAGCCCGCTCAACAACCCAGGCAGCCCCTTCCATTAACTATGACACTAAAACATAGCATGCACGCATGTGACTGGCTCATTAAAGACACAAACGGGGGGACATTTATCGTTCCTCCTACCTAGGACAGTGGAGGGGGTAAAAAACTACTGACAGGTAACATTAGTAGTGCTATAGCTGGGGGAAATTGCCACAATTACAACCAGCTGAATGTAATCCATAAATTACACTTAAAATACGCCTAAGTGTTAGACTTATTGTTAGTGTTAGTCTAGTGTTAAAGCAAAAAAAAAAAATAATAAAATCTCAACCATAGCTGGACAGAGGATAAACAATCTAATTAGAGCATGACCACAGAAATATAACAGCCACTTGTTTTCGCCAATTATAGTTAGTTTAATGAGTCTGGCCTAGAATGCATGTGAGAAACTCTGAATAAACTGAATCGTGTCTGAGTGAATACCTGTCTGTCTGGTAGATCTCCATGTTGCTGTTAAGCTCTTCCAGCTCTTCTTTGAGCAGTTGCAGGTTGGAATTGACAAAGCTGAGCTCCAGAGCCACAGTTTCCTTTACCTTGTTGTTAGTTGTTGCCCTACAAAAAAAAAAAATAAATAAATAAATAAATAATAAATATATAAGTCAAATCTTAAAAAGGCTGAATTGTCAACATTTTTCCTTCTTATAAAAATAGAAGCTGCATAATAATTATGCACACCTTGGTGTTGTTTTAGACTCCAGGTAAATATGGCATCATTGTTTAGACTTTTTTTTCTTAGTTTATGTATAATTTATGTTTCTTTTAAAGATTGATAGAACTAAATCTAGAAATCGGCTTAATGGTAAAATGCTAGATGGTCTGTATTTGTGTGCTTTATTAAGTCCAAAGACTCTAAAGCGCCTTAGAATATATTTAATCATCCGCTTACTGATACTGATACTGATGTGAATGTCAGCTGCCGTGGCAGCTGTAGCTACATCATGTTCTACTCCTCCATATGCGTTTTGTGTCATTTGGAGCTGTTCTGAAGATATTCGGTTAGGTTATATCAAAGTAACATCTCCCTATGGGCAATGACTTGAAGGCACAAACTAAACTGTTCATAATTTATTCTTTATGGTACGCCAGCATTCATAACATGTAGGCGAATCACTGTCCGCCAGACATCCACGGTTATATTTTTTATATTCATATATTTTTTAAACAAAGCAGAGTGTGTATGACGTCATCCGCGCGCCGGCTACCATCATTCATCCTGTCCGCTGAACTACTGCTAGTTTTGCTCACATGCTTGGAAGATGTCTAATGCTACAACCACAGATGATCTTGCTATCGCAATGGAATTGAACGATTCAGATTAGCTAGCCAAATGAATATAAGGGGTAGCGCGTAGCCGCCTGTCATAACTCCAGTCCGGCGCTCGGATGACGTCATACACACTCCGCTTTGGTTTAAAAAAATATAAATATAAAAAATATAACCGGGGGACAGTGATTCGCCTACATGTTATGAAAGCTGGCGTACCATAAATGATACATTATGAACAGTTCAGTTTGTGCCTTCAAGTCGTTGCCCATAGGAAGACGTAACTTGGATTATGAAACCGAAGATCTTTGGAATGGCTCCAAATGACACAAAACTCATATGGGTGAGTAGAACATGATGTAATAACGTAAAATCAAGGGCCAATGTGAAAAAACAAACAAACAAAAAAAAAGGTGTTCCCCTTTAAGGCTGTCCTTCTGGGCCCTTAGTGACGCTATCAGGCCCACGCACCACCAGCAGCAAGGAGCTGGAGCTTGAATCCACAAGCCAAAGGTTACAGGACAACCCTTACCTCCTCAGCCACTCTTGCCCCATAAACTAATGCACCATATTAAAATACTGAAAAGATTTTATCAACTTTCTGAAGCTCAGACTTGGGTGAACCTATATTTTGCACTTGATCTATTTATTCAGATGAGCAAAGGGTAAAAAAAACAAACAATATGTTATAAATTTAGTTACATTTCAGACTACAGGGACATTATCTATTGCTTTTTTGCTCCACCCAACCATTACAACAAAGCTTGGAGGCCTAAAGAAATTATTTTAAAATGGTAAAAATGTTCTTATTCACCGCAGGCTTTAACACAGAATTCAGCTCTGAGCTCCACTTTCTACTCTGTCCTTTTAGTCTATTCGAGCCTCACCCGTTCTCTAAACACATACTTGACCCAGAGCAAAGCCAACTCATGCTGCTGCTCCACAACTTCTGGGAAATCATTTAGTTTGGCAGAGAAATGGTTTGAAAAAATCCTTCCAATTATATCCCCTCCAAATCTCATTGGTTTAATGGTAGGATAAACTGGAATTAGAATAAACTTAAAGCTGCTGCTAATATTCAACCATAACAAAACAAAAACACAGAATTGTTTTGGTTGATACATTAGGAGTTTATAATATTAGAAATATGCAGTTTATGGATAATGAATCCATGTGTAAGAAGCTAAAGATTTAAAATTTCCCAACTCTTTGATCTCAGGGACTTTTATTGTCAGCGGTGCCTGACTTCATTAGCTTCTCTGTGTAATCCGTCAGGAGAAAAAAAAAGAAAGAAAGACATTTTCTAACTTCTGTAAATATAAGGGAAATACTAAGTGCACAACAGAGGTTATTTCTTTCTCATTTTATGTGTAGACAGTAAATGTCTCCTGACAAGATAAACAGCAGAAAGGTCGCTTGGATGAAACTAATTTACCGGTAAGACATTTATTATTTGGTTTTAATCAATTGACCTTTTCTCACCCATTTTCCCTTCATGGATGTTGCGATAACCTAAGTCCTTTTCTGATGATAATATTCATACCCTTTTTTTGTTATCAAGAAAAAAAACATTCTGCATGATATTAAGAAAACAGGTGTTGTGATATAATCTACCTGTTGTAATAATCATATAATTTGGGATAAATAAATAGAAGTCTTATTTTCTTTCTGCTTTTGGTCTAAGGCTGATCTCAGTGTTTATAAATATTGAGAAAAAACACAAAAACAATGTGTTATTTCCATCTTAAAAACCTTTTTTTTCCTGTTAAGTTTTAGTTTTATAATGCATTGACCGAAATAACTCCTCCCTTCTCTCGACATATTTTAATTCTGGATTAAAAGACACCCAACTCCAATTATATTGCAAGAACAGAGAGTATAAATGAATAGTATTTGCAGCTCTTTATATTTTTTTTCATTTTCATTTTATACATATTTTTTTATACAATGATCTTCCAATTGGGCTGCACAGTGGGTAGCACTGCTGCCCTGGAGCAAGAAGGTTACAGGTTCAAATCCCAGTCCCTGGTCATTCTGCATAGAATTTGCATGTTCTCCCTAAGCATGAGTGGGTTCTCTCTAGGTACTACGGCTTCCCCCCCAAAGTCCAAAAACATTTCTGTTAGGTTAATTGCTTCTCTAAATTTTCCTGGATGGATTTTCCAATTATTTCATTGCATTTTTCGGCCCCAAAATATATATTTTTCATTCTATTATAAACACTGTCCAGTATAATTGACTCTTATCAATTTGTATGATTTGTTCTTAAAATAAAAGTAAAATCTCCCCATCCTATAAATGCAAATGTACAGCTTTACAGTATTGGTTTGTAAGAAGGGTCCATGCATACTAATTAACAAAATTCCGACCAAAACTGAATTTTAAACATTTTTTATGAACATATTTGTAGCTTAGATTTGAACAGGAAAATAGGGTTAAATCAAACAGTTAGAGCTCTTATCCTTTGCCAGTGTCTTTATTAGTCACTCCCTTCCCAAGTCTAAACATGCAAACAAGGATACAACTATATCTACTCTTAGGCCAGAGGCAATCTGATTAGTCAGCTTTAAATGAGCTCCTAAATATCCCCTTCCTTCACACCCATTTGCACGCACATCAGGCAAAGACAAAAAAGAACACTGACTAACCTAAGAGACAAAGATCCTAAAGTTTTCAGAGGAAACCTGAAACCGACCTAAATGGCTAACCCCCGTCTCTGTGTGTGGAACGTCAAGAACACTGAACATCCGAACACCCCCCACAGACCAGCGCCCCGATGAGCAAGCAAGTGAGCAAAGTAAAACTAAAAGCTGCTAGTTCCCTGTGTGTGTGCGTATGTGGACTACACTAACAAACTAAGAAGGGGGAGGCTGACAGACAAATGAGTGGGGGGATGAGCTCAGTGAAACTTGCTGGGAATCTTTGCATGGGAACAGGACGGGAGGCGGACACAAAGCCGGCTGATTACAGGCTGACGGGCTGTGTGGGGGTCCTCTTTGTCTCTGTGACCAAGCGTCCAAAGAGAAGGCGCGGGAGTGCTTTTCTTTTAATTATCTGCACCGGACTGAGTCATCACAGTTTTGCAAAATAGCCAGAATCCTCTGGAAACAACTGCTGACCCTGGCTGGGGCTTAGTTGTTTACCTAAATGGAAACAACACACATGTAAGCTTTAGCTGCTGTGGATTTTCCGTCATGTAAAATTCATTCAAAGTTGATAACAATTAATGGTATCAATGAAATGCAAAGTTTAATCTGCAAAATAGTTTAAAATCCAGAAGGCTAAGTGTAGCACAGCACTTGGTTTTATTCTTTCCAAATTTTGAAATATTAGCTGAAATTCTCTGAGCTATGACAGAATCTATGCGCTTTACAAAGTTATTATGTTCACAGTCAGTCATGTAACCTTTTGACTTGCTTATTGACTAAATAAGATAGGCAAAAGTAGTTTTAAATACCTCTAAAATAAGGCTGTCTGTGTGTTGAAATACCAGTAAAATCCTGTTTTTACTGGAAATGACATCACTCTCTTGCACATAGTGTGACATCACCTCTGCTACCAATATATTGTCTTTTCACCAGAAAGACATTGGCTTCATCTAAAAATGCTACAAATGTTTGTTCATTAGTAGCTAAAGCTTTATTGTTCAATTTTCAGTGATGTAGAGAGAGAGACAATGCACCCCATCTCTTTAACTGTGGGCTGTTTAAGACAAAACTTACTAAAAACATGTTATCATTATGAAAAGTACATTCTAAATACAACCACGACCAAAAATAAAAACATTTTCCAAAAAAAAAAACATTTTATCAAGTGAAGAGCAGCCGTTATATATCTAAAAACTATTTAGTCCAGAGGAAAAGTTCAAAGAAAAGCAAATTAGTTTTAAATTGGGGACACTTTCTTCTAGATCCTATCAGATTAAGACACAAAATGAATCAGGGAGCAGATAGTTGAACATTGCTTATGAATCCATCCTCATGAGAAAAGGGAGCAAGCTCAGCCTCCTACGTGTATATTAAGCAACCATTGCACAGAGACTATTCTACACTAAAGCTTTTCTCAAAAAGACTATAAAAAAGGTCTGCCGAAATGATTACTTTCAAGACGAACATTCTTTTGGTTAAAAAAACGTCAAAGTAAAGAGATTCAAAGACATTTTATGAACAGTTACAAAGACTCTTAAAAACCCTCCTTTTATTTAGCAAAACATCTACAACATAAAGTGTTGTTTGAGTGGTAAAAACCTTAGCAGTTTTTTGTAGTTTTGTAGTTTTTTTATGTTGTCTCTGCCAAATGATGCATTTTAAACAGAATAAATATAACAAGCTAAGCATAAGAGAAGGAGACAAAAGGGAGACAACCAAGGTCCTGTAGAGAAATTAACATGCAAATTGATGCACAGTGAACATAAAGAGAAGCACAATAGCAGGTAGAGATAGCGTGTGGTAGCAAGAGCGACTGGTGACCTAAATGTAAAAGATCAACCGATTAACAAAGCACCCTCTACAATCAGAAAAATAATCCTAACAGCTTCTTTAACAAACAGACAGATCCACGAGATAGCTGAAATAGTTCATAGTAATATAGCTAAATGGCACTAATAGTTGTTTTTAAATGACTGGCATTAATGCATCTTTTTATACATCTGATTAGAGTTTGGTGCATCATAAACTCAAATAAGAGATGTTGGATAAAAAAAAAGGTGCCATTTGCTGCAAATTGAAATTTTGAAAGTCTTTAAACAGGAAACTGAACAAAACTTTTCATTCAAAGTCTGCCCTATTTCATTGCATGCTCCCTCCACAGATCTAAATCTAAAAAACAAAAAAAAACAATGTCTGTAGAATGAGCTAAAGAGAGGATAACATAACAGAGAACCCACGACTATGGACAATCTAGATTAATGGTGTAAAAAGGAATGGCAAGAGTTCCAAACTCTGTACGCTCCAACCTTGCAAAATGTTAAAGAAGAAGACTAGGACTTTGTTTTGGCTTGGTAAAACTGACAGGGTGAGATCACAGGTGTAAATGTTTCATGTTACCTAAAAAAATTCTCATTTAGTGTAAAATCTTTAAGCTATGTAGTAATAATGATTCTCAGGCCCAGTCCACACAGACAGTTGCCTTAGGAAGATCTTGCGGTCGAAACGTCACTGGGAGCTTTGAACAACTGTTTGGATTTTCCTATTTTTCCCAGTCCACACAAAAAACAGCTTGAATGCATCCAGGTATTTCGAGCTTCAGGTGGTGCATCCATCCGCCAGAAATGAGCATTTTGGTAGATTATAAACAATAATTTCTTAAACTGGAAAACCAAAAATAAAATAATTGCTTCTGTGTTTTCATCTGTAGAAGTGAGTTCCTTCCTTCTTAAAGGGTGATATCGTAGCAATGTCTCTGTTTTGTTTTTTTTACATTTTTTGTGCAATTTGGTAGCAGTGTAACAGCACCCCCAAAGGGCCTGGCATACATACTACAGCTGAGCCAGGGTAGCCATATTTGCCTGAGTTCCATTCAACTGGGCCTCTGTTGAACAAGTTGCTCTGTTAAAATCATCTTTCGCTAGGTTGTTCAAATGTAGGCTCCTTTTCACAGAATTAATCAGGTTCTTAGAAAGTAGGGGTTGAACGGTTCACCAAATCCATGGTTTGGTTCGGTTAACGGTTTCGTGGTCACGGTTTTCGGTTCGGTATATGTTGATTGTTAGCCTGACATGTTGGTCGTGTTGCTGTTAGCATAAACAAAACATGTTGCACAATGCTAGCACACTGTTGCAATTTTATCCACAACTTTCTTTCCGCTGTCATTGTAGGTCACTCAAAATGCAAAGTGGTCCCATACAGCAGACCTATAAAGTGCTGCTGGCGCGTTTTCCAACTCCTGTTCTTTCCCACTCGCCATACCCACACAATTCTCCACAACAACTGATTTTTTTCTGCTACACTACGCTGCTTAGCATCTTCTTCTTGTTTACTAGTGGTGGTTGGCTTTGGTCGCAGTACCGCCACCTTCTGCTCTGGAGTATACACTCTTCGCCTATTAGAAAAAGAAGCAGCGGATGAACCGAACGCAACACACGCGAATCGAACCGAGACAGTCGAACCGAACAGTTCGGACGGTTTTCATAAACCGTTCCATCCCTATTAGAAAGTGTTAGTAAGAGAATTCTAGCAAAATAGTTGTCAGTTTGGCAGAAAAGTGAAACACTAATAAAATGTGGGCCTGCACTCATCATTAGTTTATTTATTTTAAAATATGGAGATTCTGTCACACTTGACAATCTCTATCAGCTACAATCATTAGTCAATCAAGCGTCACTGAAATTGTATTCGTCAGTGAAATATAAACGCTCCATGTGAGTTTAGCTACACTAAAGTTTGATGGTCTAGCTAAATGATCAGATGATCAGCTAGATCAGAATTCACGGATTAGCCGACCGCGGTCTGGATACAGACCAACCTGCTGGCTAATCCGGACCCAACCTGATTTAAAACATTTATAATTCACCGCATGTTGTCCGACGGCAGTGTCTAATTTCACTTGCACTGCTTCTCCTGTTTGTACGGTAAGCCCTCCGGGACAAGGCTACACGTGATGCATAGGGCTGGGTATTTTCACCAAAGTCTGAATCGATTCGATTTTGATTAATACCGTTCTAAATCGATTAATTTCGATTCAATCTGTTTTTACCATAATGAAAGTGGTTCAACTGTGTTTCAAAATACTCATGTATTTAATTTTTTCCTGTCATATTAAACACAAAGTGCAAACTTGTAAATCGGACAATTTAAACTTGAGATGGGAACAAAACTGTCTCAAAAGTGCAAACTTGTTTGTGAAAAGTGAAAAAGCCTCACTCGAGCAAACAGACATGACACAGCAGGGACACAGCAGACATGCATGAGCTGCATTATCTTCAATGCACAAACCATATTTGCAGCGTCGTCTGCAACAACTACACAGTGTTTGCTGGTCAGCCTCCATTTGTTAATGTCTTCAATCAACCTATTAGCTACATTTGCAGCTGTCTGGCTTGAAGTATTTTGAGTGCTCATTTGAATGTGAAAGTCACGCACGTCACTATAAAACTAATCGATCTTATTCACTAGACATTGATTTTGCGAAAATGTGATGGAATAGATTCAAAATCGATTAAGTCTATTTTTTTTACCCAGCCCTAGTGATGCATATTAAACAATGAGCTGTGTCAATCATGGCTGTTGCTGCTAGCTACTTTTACACACAGCAGGCAAACATGTGGAAAGCTGGGTGTTGGGTAACAATGATGGGTAAACGTGAAAGAAAGCGTAAGCTGATGGAAGAACTGCAGTGAACTGGTGGCAAAAAAGTGAAATGGTGTGCTCAGAGATGACCCTGCACATTTTGAGTATGTTTGGCGATTTTTTTTGCATTGCCGTTAACATTTCCAAATGCGACTTGTATGTGATCTCCTATGTGAGCTGCAGTCATACAACACAAGTGTCCCTCATGTGCAGTAAAGGACGCAATGACGTCACATTCCAGCATGCTTTGTGTTTACGGAAGTAAACATGGATTGTAGTGCTGGAGCGCATCTAGCTATCTTTCCCAACCATAAAAACACAATCTTTTCAGATTTCAAGATTAAATACTGCTCTCCGCATCATCGTCTGCCATGGTTGTTGTTTTTCTTGCCGCTTCTTCATAGCAAGACCCAGAATATTGGCCTTTGTCGGGTATTAATGGCGTTCAGGTCAGATGAATGCGACCTGGCCGTTCAGACACAGTTTGGACTTAAAAAGATCAGATTTGTGTCGGATTCAGGACCACATAGGCAAGTGGCCTGGGTCGCATTGAAAGAAAAAAAATTGGATCTGTGTTGTTCAGAAAGCCGTCAAAAGATCAGATACAGGTCAGATACGGGCCAAAAAAATCGCATTTGGGTCACTTCAAGCTGTGGTGCGTAGCCTTTGTAACTACGTCTTTCTTCCTATCAGACCAATGAAACTGCTGCTGAATTTCTGCGTAATCTGACTAAAATAGACATGGGGTCTATCTCAGTTGGAGATACTGAAGCCCCCTTGCAGAAAATCGTGTCAGGTGTGTTCATCCTCATTGATTTTCAATGAGCGCTAAATGCAAGGACCTCTACAACACAATTCGACGCAAAATCGGATGTGGTGTGTTCTGGCCTCAACACATTTAAGAACATTTTCAGAAGCATCTAAAAACATACGTTGTTATATGTGATTGGTGTTGCTTACTTAATACATTATGAGTTAAAAAAAAATGCATTTTTAATCATCGGAGCATTGGCAGTAATTTTTGGCTGATGAAAATGTTTAATTTCCACCCCTGTGAAGAACATAGACAAACAGGAAGGCGTTGGTGAAATAAGTTCCTGCTTCTTACCTAAAAAGGTTCTCCGCTCCTGCTCTCATCCGCATCTCCTTGTTAATCTGCTGGTTGATTCGAGCTCGCCGATGTTGCAGTTTACTGCGCTGAGTCTGAGCGAATGGATCGCATCCCTACAGAGAAAACATTAAACCAGAGGAGGCTAAATCTTTTATTTTTACATTCAGCAGAGAATCACAAAATGAGGTTTTACAGCTTTGATATCAGAGTTATGATGATCTGCAAACAATTTTAAAGTAGAATTTCATCAGTATTTCTACAGGTCAGGAGGGAGGTTTAGTAATAGCAACTAAAATCACCTTAGATCAGGGACAGCAAAATAGCATATCTTCACAAGTTTATTTATAGAGCACTTTTTTTTAGTAGCAAGATAATTCAAAGTGCTGGAACTGTGAAAAAAGAAAATGTACATTGAATTGGAATAAAGGTAACACTGATAATTACAGAGAAAAGGATGAATAATTAAAACGAGATGATTACATAAACAGAATGATAAAAAATGAAAGTTGGACTGATAACTAATGATCTTAATATAACACGGACGAAAGCCAATCTAAATAAAAAAGTATTTAAGCAATTTAGCATTTTCACTATTTTCTAGGCGTTTCTTCCAAACTAGCGCAGCATAAGAACTAAAAGAAACTTCTCCATGTTTGGTTCTGGCTGTCCAGAATCAATTTAAACCAGAAGACCAATCGGGTTTATAGAGAAGCACCTCCCCAAAAACGACCTGCTCAGGTCAGAACCCAGCATCAGCAAACTGATGAGATGTTTTCCTAAATCCTCATCCTGTTGGTAGTTTCCCACAGCCTATTATCTCACAAATGTATTTCTTAAGGTAAAGGCTTGTAGGGTCGGTATTAGGACAGATTGAGTGGAGAGTAGACTTGTTGAATAATCCCTGACCTTCTCTTTTTTTAATCATATTCACAGATTATAAGATGTTCTCTAATAATCTGCAGCAGTAGAGGACTGTGCTGATGTGGGGCTTAAAAAAAATCAAACAAACAGCAGCAGCTGTAACAGTTTCTTCCCAAAATAGCAGAAACTTCACACTGGTCTTTGAGTTGCATTGATTCTGTCTTTCCTCTCTTCTTCTAGCTTCTCGGGACTCCAGAGGAAACTTAAAATGTACCTTTATTTCAAAAAGGACATTGGACCACTGAGCAGCAGTCCACTTCTTTCTCTCCACGTCTCTGATCCTAAAGCATCTTAACACGTATAAAATAGCAGTTGCAGCCCATGTCCTGGATAGGTTAGCTGCTGTTTTTGCATCTTGGATAACTGTTTTTCCTCCACTCAACTTTCCCTTAGCATGCTTCCTTACAGCACACAACCAGTGACTTTCTATGTCCTACTCTGCATGGAGAGGAGGAAAGTGACTGTATGCTAAACAACTGTCAAGTCAGCTATTTTCCATATGATCAGGTTAAACATAACATATCTGCAATAAAGATCCTATTTGGTTCATATTTTAAGAACTTCATCTAGAGAAGTATGTGTTATAATTAGTTGTAAGCCAGATTAATTGAAACTAGCAGAGATGGACATAAATTACACCAAGTTGTTCAATGAATCTAGACCACATGTGTAACTTTCTGAAGGACAGGTGTGGACATGTCCCCACCAATAATTTCCACTTTTTTCCCCCTTTCCGCTCATTTACTTTAGCCAAAGGTAACAGAGGTTGGTGCAGCTGTCTGTGTTCAGAGCATTTTGAGTCTGTGTTTTTTTTTTTCTCTCTCCCGCTGCTCCCATGTTTTGCATCTCTGTGTAACATCATCGGATCTGTCGCTTTGAGTCATTTGATTTGCAGTCGCATTTCACTGCGTACAAAGTAGCTACGTGGTTGGAGGAGAGACACACAGCAGCACTCAGTGAATATTAACCAGCAGCTACTTCGATGTTAAGGTAAAAGTTAGGAGACCGGCTGGTTAAAAAAATTAGAGATCATACTACTGAAAAATCTGTTCATTAGACATACAGAGCTTTTTCAGCTAAAAATGGCAACATATTGTAACCTTATACAGGTTAGTATTATAATGCAAGAAGCTTGAGAAAACATAGTTTGTTTATCTTTAATAGTTAAAAAAGCTGGGATTCTCAGAGAACCGTGACTCCCAGTTACAGGTTAAAATGAACATGTTTTCTTATTGTACAGATAGAATCAGACTGCAGAGCTTCTACATATCATTTTTTTGTTTCTGGCATCATTATATTAGTAAATAGGTTCATAAATCTTTTTAAACAGAGAAAAGAGAGAAGTAGGGACAGCTGCAGATTTAAGGTTACTGGGATATGCAACATGTAAAAAAAAAAATATATCTCCAAGTTTACAAGAAAAAAAAATGCTATTCTATATTTAAAATGAAGCATATCCATATTTTTCTAGATGGATGGAATTTAAATTGTACTTCTAGGGATGCATGATATATCGATTTTGGCATCGAAATCAGCTGTTATTCCTTATTTGTTTATACATTAAGGTTTTTGGGCCCTATAATGCAATAAAAGATATCTCTCCATCTATAAATATAAATATTAGTGTATTATAGTTCTCTTATGTTCTCAACAATAGGAAAGCATTAAATAAATATATGAGCTCATTTTTGGAAATGACTGAAACTGAAAGTGTTCAGGTGGAGTAACTATCAGCCCCCACCTGAGTGTCGCCACCAACTTTCATCACAAAGTTACACCCTTGCTATATAACTGTTTACTAAAATAAGTTTAGCTTTTGATTCATGTATAGTTTGTTGTGATAAACCTGGACAGGTGGCTGGCACCAGGTCTCACCTTGCGGATGCTCCCGCTGTGGCCGCCGTCTGTCGGCAGCGTCGCGGGCATGTCGTCGTCGTCTGACGCACCGTCTGAAAGAGTCAGCTCCAACTCTCTGTAAAGAGGGACGTTTGATTCGTTAAATATATTATTGTCAACTACTCATCGAGCAGCAGCGCTTGCTTCATATTCCATTTATTCTGGTAGTGGAAAAAAACACGGTTTATGCGCATAAGTCACAACTTCTAATAAGTAACGGTAACACTTGCCTTGTGGCAGGTCCCTCCATCGTAACCCGGCGGCTGAAAACGGCCCCTACATCCCTTAAAGCTGCATAGCTAGCGTACAAGCAGCAGTTCAACAAAAGTATCAAAGAATAAACCAAAGCCTGGCGAAGCTTTTCCCCCTAAAAAACAAGCCAGCCTGAACACTTCTTCTCTGCATAAAGCCTTCTCGTTGTTTTCAGACAGAGTGCTGAAAGAGATTACTCAGGGAGGGCGGGGCAAGGATAAAGAATCCAGCCAATCAGAAAGCGAATTTTTTAAATGACAAGAAATCTGGCAAATTAGAAAAAGGGAAGGCTGTTCATTTGACCAATCACAAGTTTGATAAGGCGTACCCATCCGCCTCCCCACTTGTAAAGTCGTTGTCATGGTTACTACAGGGGCAGTGGCTTGTGTACTGGCTCCAAGAAGGTTGCAGCAGCCTGTCCTTGTCTGCACATTAAAAACAGGCCATAGATAAGTATTTACAATTCTTTGCTTTCAATTAATAGGATTATCTCAATGCTAAAATTATTTTATTTGGTTTCCACTGGATACGGTTTGCTTCAAATATATTCATTTTCAGCACGTGCAAGTTACCTGCTATCATATAGCCTAACTGAAGTAAAAATGAAACTCCCTTATTTTTTTAAACGAAAGTGAAATAATAGTAAAATCTAAAGAAAGCACTCAGATCGAAACGTATTATGAATGAAAGTAGCTACTTGTTATTTTAAATCTATTCCTTTTTTAAAGTTTGCTTTGGTTTACAATATGTGCATTATCTAATTTGGCCACTAGGCGGAGTGTTTTCCTTATAATAGGCTCCACCGTTCAGAATGGAGAAAAGGATAACAAGAGAAAAAATCATTTACAAACCTTACTATGGAGTAACCAAATCTATCAATTGCATTTTATATAAATTCAAGGTGAGACCTGCCTTTTACCACTAACCACTAAGTAGCACACAAATAAAATCGAATATCAACTTATGACTTTAAAGACAGTTTAAAATAACGATAATTATTTCTTCCATTTTAGCGTTCAACAAACAGAAATTATCCTAAATCTAAGAAAACAGGAAAACTTGATATTTTAAGACATACAGTGATAAAAAGTATTTTATGTAAAAGAAAATAAAACTTAATAGTTAAGATCAGAAACAGAGTTATATAAATTCTGTATCAGATTTTAACTGTACAGGTAAAGCCTGTGTGCCAGACCATTAAAAGCAGCTGTCCTTTCTAACTTCAAATGGAAGAGGCTTGGAAAAGTTCAGGTTGTCCAAAAAATTTTCAAAGTTGATGATTTAGAGCTTGAATTCAGATTGAAAATCAAATATTTGGCCACCATTTAGCCATCAAATTACTTTTATTTCTTTTAGATATGTGCTGCAGCAGGACTAGGCTGTCATTTACTTTTAAAAACGTATCATAAGTATATGGGGGTGTTGGCCTAGTGGGTTAGATCAGTGCACTTGTGTTCTGAGAAGGTTGCAAGTATCAGGTATGATTCCCCTAGTCTCCACCCTGGGTCCCTGAGCAAGATTCTTAACCTGACTTGCTCCCCGGGTACCCCACAGTGGCAGCCCACTGCTTCCCAAAGGGATGGGTTAAATGTAGAGTGTGAATATCTCCATTGTGAGTGTCTACAGGGAAAGACGCAGTGTTTCCTTTCAGGGAAGCAGTTTGCCGTTTATTCTGTAAAACGATGCTCAAAAAAATTTGTCATTCCTACTGGTTTCAGGTTAGAAAATATTAAATGTACCTAAAGTTTAATGATCCACTGGCGGCTCCACCGTAAACATCTGCCCTGCAGCCTCACCTTACAACCAGCCCCATGTCATTAAGATGGAAATGTATTTGTTTCTTTGCGATTCATCGGTTTGGAACTAACCAGCCACTCCAGCATCATGATCTTCTCTTCAACCAACTTAAGGCATGTTTTCTCCAGTATTTGTTTCTGCCCATTTTCTTTCATTTCTTTTGTTTATGGGGATTTTTCCCACTTAGAAATAAATCATGAATATTCGGTCCTGACTAATTTCTACCTTCTTGGTCTGCAGAGATGTTTCTCTTTGCAGACTCTTTGCAAGGTGACCATTGAACAAAAAAACCCATAGACTATTTAAAACTTTACCAAAGGACTAAAACATTAATTTTTTCAGAATTTAAGTTTTTACCCCTGGATTATACTGCCGTCACACTATCTAGTTTCATATATATATTTTACATTATTTTTTTTTTATTTGTTTAATGTCTTACCTGCAGCACTTTGAGGTGTCTTACATGTTATTGCAAATAATATTTTTATCAGTATAACCTGAAAACTTTAGGCTTTAAAGTTCATCAAAGCATTTAGACCCAGCTAATAAAGGGGGAAAAAAACCTTCATATCTTAAAGCAGTTACATTTTTTTAGCCGATAAATATTTTGTTAGCAGTCAACTTTTTCGCAGTAATCATTAAGCTCCTTTAGCCCTGCAGATTTAGAAGCACCATTAACCTCGTTCAGGTATTTGTGATCAAAATGCAAATTACAAGCTCTGGCAGAGTTTTTTTTGTTTTGTTTTGTTTCACAATTGCAAGTTCTCTATTTTTTTTTTTTTGTTTGTTTTCACCGAAAATGCACAACTATTTGTGGAATATTTAAAGGTTGTCAGGGCTTCAAAATTAAAGATGTTTAAGAAGTATTACTTTGAGTTGGAGACTTCCAAACTTAATTCCTGCTTTACTGTGATATTTTTACATTTTTAGTTTTGTTCCTGTTAACGTTTTCACCACAGATTGTGAACTAAGACACTGAAAAGCATGTTATTGTTGATGTATTTAAGGCTACTAACTTTAGAAACTAGGTAATGAAAATTAAAAACTAAATGTTTTTCAGACATCAACTCTAAAAAAGGCCATTAGAATTAGCTTTAAGTAACAGACATGACCTTTTTTTTTGTTCCAAACTCAACAGCTTTTAGTGGAAATCAACATTCTGAACATTTCACAAGCATGCACATATCCAAAATAATCTTTTAAATTTGCATTTACAGGTTACAAAATAGAAACAATAGCAAAAACACTTTTACAACAGGACTGAAACATCATGCTTGTCTACAGCAACACGCTGTGATGTTGAGAAATAAAACACAACTTTTTTTTCCTTTTTTTTACCCCCCAAATCAGTATTTTTCTGAAAATCAAGACTAAGAGCAGAGAAAAATCTGTCCTTCACATTCAATTTAATCAAGGGTTTTCTTTCAGCTTTAGAAAAACAAATGGTCACATAAAAGATAATTCACATGGCAACGGATAAATACCTACAGGTCTCACTACAACTTACAGGACAACAGTGATATAATGTTATTCTTACGATAAGCTTCAAGTGGAACATAAAATTGTATTTCTAGAGCCTGTCATATAGGTTTTAATTAAAAAATAACCCCGTTATTAAAGGGACATAATTTTCAGACTGAGCAGCAAATCTTGGGACACATTTTCTTTTCGAGACAAAAAATAAGTAATCCTTCTCCAGGGCTTTTTAAACACAACCTGACTTTTGTGCTGTGGAAAAACGCAAGAGTCCAAAGTATAACTAAAGCTGATGTGTGAGGGCTAGACAACAAAGAAAAATGTCAGTGTTCAGGTAAAAACTTTGAACTGAAACCCTAATCTTGGTTTTACTCTCATATTAGACTTTTTTTTACCTCTAAAATATAAAGTAAATGAGCTGCCAAATCTGACATCAAGTCCTAGCATAGCATTTGCTGATTAAAGCTTCACTTGTCCGGATTTGGGACAAACAGAGCATCCTTTGCTCAGCAGTGTGAGAGATTTCTGTAGCAGCAGAGTTAGGGTATATTTAGTATTGTTTGGAGTATTTCTAAAAAAGCTGCTTGATTTGAACGGTTTTGAGATCCCAGGTAAATATGGAAGCAAAGGAAAGACCTGATAAGAACTCATCCAAACTGACTGAGTTTTTTCTTTTCTTTTCTGCAGTATTGAAACATAAAAACATATAGAAGACATCCGTTTCCATCGTCCCATGTTCCCCAGTTTAATATTTAGATCAAAGTTTGCTGATCCAGACAGATTATGAGAATTTGATTTTGAACTAAATGGTTTAAAATGTTTGGCTGTTGCATCTTCCTGCATCTATAGGGAAAACAATGCCTGGATGTGTCATAAACAGGGTAAAAGTAGAGTCCCTACATGTTTAGTGGTTAAAACTGCAACCTTTTATAGAATTAAAATGACAACGAATTAATTCTAAACATAAAAGCTTCTACAGAGATCTTGCTTTATATATAGAATCAGGACAATAAAAGGACTGAAGTATATGAAAAGTCAAGTGGATAAAGATAGATAACTAGTTCATGTTTAACAAATAAAACTGGAAGTTTGGAGACACTTTTTTTTATCTTATTTTCCTATCGAGGACAATGTCTAGAAACCCTAAAAAGGTCAGCGAAGGTCATAAATCTCTGTGCAACCTCTATAAAAAAAAATTAAGATAATGCAAACATGAGGATTATATGATGTCCAGCAAAAATGTCAACATGTAAAATGTTCCATAACACATTCTCTATCGTCTTGCCTTGATAAAACTGGGAAACATAGAAGTGTGGGAACATAAAAGCGATGCCTTTCCATCCGTTCCAACATTATAGAGTGTAAACTGCACCGGAAAAAAGCCCTTTCTGATTTGCATCTTCTAAAAGTTTTAACAGCTTTAAACAACAACAACAAAAACAGGACAAGCCAAGTGTAGTTTTCCCCCCAAAAATAGAGAATCCATCTTTTCTTTTACATTAAAATATCTCTGCCGTTGAACAGCATTCACATCGGCCCAAACAGTCCCAGCTTAAATGTCGGGGAGTCACAGTTAAAGTGCGAAGCAACTAGAGGACTAAAACATTGCACTGTAACATAAACAGTTCACTTTATCCAGCCCAGAACCAAATATGGTAGGCAACATCAGAAAACAAAGAAACATGTCTTAAAACAAGCTTCACTCTAGCATAGCAAGATTAAGATCCAGTACATAGCATGGGATAAGAATCTGCTTAAAGTGTCCATCATGTCATGCAGCTGACTGCATAATCTAGATGCTTCAGAGGTCCACGAATGCAAACAATCAGAGCCAGTGCCAATCTGGAACATTTACAGAGTGGGTCCTCCGGTTTGATCAAGAGGCGGATTTCTCCACAATCGACTGGCTTCCACTGTATGAAGAGAGATGCTACAGTATGAAGAGAGAGCGGTACAAGCAACAGTCAGTTTCTTCATGGGGACTGGAGAGGAAGCTTTGACCTGCTGTGACGGAACCAAACAGTCCGAACATCAGCTCATTGGGCTAAAACGACACCGCCACAGAATTTACATTCTTTTATCATCCATGAAGTAGCATCGTACAGAAATGGAGGTAATAGTCACTTAACAGGAGTTCACTGTTGCACAGGAAGAAACCCATAACATGCATCCCATTAGACTGTGTTAGCATAAGGTTACACAAATCAAACCTGCAGAGCTATAGAAGGCCTTCGATTAGAGGTCTGGACTGTCGGTTTAGTCATGCATTTTGTTGCAGCTTTATGTACAAAGTCCATTTAAATGACTTCAGCAGGATGAGGGACAGGGATGAAGCTCCAATCACTGGCATCACAACGATAAAGTCTACTTATGTGCACAAACCTTTGGAAAAATCTGTACACATTTTTAAGCTTAAAGAAAAAATCCAACATCATTTATGGAGTAAGTTACATGTTAGTGTTGTATATTATATCCCTGTTAAAAACCACCAGTAGCTAAGTTGGAATATTAAGAAATGGTTTGTTCACTGGGGTTCTGCAAGAAATTAACGTAGATTTTCAATTCTAGCTTCAAAAATACCACATAAAATAAAATCTACATAAAAATAAGTTAAATTACTTTGAAAGATCCCGATTTCTCTGACTTCAGAAAGCTCAGAAGAAGCTATCTGAATCTGAAATACAGGAACAACGAAATAAAACATCGCTTAAAAGATATTTTAGCGTTTAGTCGTTTAATCTCAAGTTGTTTTTTTCCCGTGGCTCAAGTTAAAAAGATGTCGGAAAACTCATATTTTATATAAACCATCAAAAAATATTAGCTAAAAAAACAAAGCTATGATAAACTCTCCACTATAAAAGAAAAAAAAAAGAAAAAAGCAGCAATATTATAAGTATTTAAGAAATGAAGAAGGCAACGTTGAGCGTGAACTTAAAGCTGGATTTATGCTTCAGCGTAAAGACCTTTCCCTTTTGTCAACGTTTCAAAACAAATTTTTGGTCTTTGATTGTCATATCGCCACTGAAACACTCCTGTCCCACGATCAAACATCTAAAAATCAACATTTTGCGTCATATTTAATAAAATACAAGCGTTACATTTTTGGCTGGAATTTGACCAAATAAAGTTTTCAGTAAAAGCCCCTATAAAAAAATTCTGACAAAAGCAGCCCATAATGACCACACATCTGTAGCTTTCATAGGAGGTACGCGCAGTAAAAACAGCTCCTTTATTAAGTTATAGAAGAATAAATCCAGCTGAGCATATGGCAAAAAAAAAAAAAAAGTTGGATTTTTCCTTTAAGTTCCAATTTTTTTTTTGTCATCTCATTTGCATAGGAGTCAGGGTGTGTTAAAGGCAAACAAAATGGCTGATGGAGCTTTTTACAGGACACAACAAACACTTTATATCACGCAAACCCGTCCAACTGAGCCAGAAGTGTGAATCCCTTCTTGGTGTGTTTGGACAGTTAGTAAAAATATCAATACAATTGCACCCAAACTTACAGTTTGCAGGAAAAAAAAAAAAAACCCAACCAAAAAAACTAAACCTACAGACGCCTTTCAGGGAAACTCTCACAAAAAGGCTGAGGCAGACCCATTGGCACTGAATGTGAAGGTGGTATTCTGAGTGTCAGCCATGAAACTGGAAAGATTTTGGCAAACAAAGATCTGAACTCATCGTGGACGACAGTGTGAACAGATCTGGCTTGAATGTTTTGTTTTCTGGAGCTTTCAAGACTGAGCGAACAAGGCAGGATCTTTAAAACATTGCACATTTCACAGAATTACATTTAGAGTATTTTTTATATACCTTTAACTATTTTAATGCCCCTCATCTAAACAGAGGGTAAAAACATTCTATGATAAAGTTTATAAAATCTAAAATTGCACCTTTCACTGACACTGCACTTGCAAGGCCTCTCTCTGTAACATCTGTTGCGTTTTTGTAAGAGACCCCCTGTAAAGGAGCAGAAAGCCTCCCCATACTTGCACTGTTTAATTCTCTTTATATCCCCCCTCCCTTTTTTTTTGTTTTTGTCCCACAAAAAAAAAAAACAGAAAAAAAAACAAAGCCAAACAATTTGGTTATAAAGAGTACAGCTACAAAATACAGTACGTCGCTTGTTAAATTTTACATAACCACAAAGATCACTGACCAAAGTTTGTCTCAAATACAAGAAAAAGGTCATATTTTAAGTTAGGAAAATACATTGTCACATAAAACACTGACTAACAGTAGTTTGTTACTGTAAGGCAAAATCAGGTGATTTCACAGTGACTGAAAATTACCGATTCAAATGTTCTTTTACAAGTGATCTTAGCTAAAATATATGCAATTATACACTATATAGCCATAAATATCCCCTAGAGGAGGAGAAACATCCCATTGTGAATTTACTTGTTAGATATGTTGGACTCTATTGTTCTTCCAAACCAAACTTAATCATCGATTTTCTGATGGACCGTTGCCAGCCGGAGAGCTAGTTCCTGAAAGCTGGGAGCATAAACTCATCTAAAATGACTTGTATGCTGTAGCGTTAGGAGTTCCACTCACTGGAACTAAGGGGATTGGCCTTCCACCAGATCCCAGACAGGAAATTGTTGTTTCTGGCAACTACCAGACCCCACACTCTCATCCTGTATCGTATAACAGTTTGAGTTTGACACTCCAATGCTGTAGAGTCCTGTTGGGGCATGCTTTACACCACTGCTTCTGGAATTATGAAGCGCACTCTCACGTAAGTCTGGGAAGCAGCTGCTCAACCATGCATCATACCCATAAATCAGGGGTCTGCAACCTTTCATATCCAAAGAGCCGTTTTGCCCAGAGTACTACCAAATAAAAGT